CTCTTTTGTATAAATCATAATGTAGTCCTAGTAGTTCGTCTTTGTCTCCGTCTATTCGTCTACCCTAACATATGTCGTTCCACCTACCTGTCCCGTTGTGGATTATGTCTGGAGAATATTGGGTCTAATTCATACTCAGCATTACCATTAACTTTATTATTTGGAATCACTTACGTGTAGCCTTGACCAGAGTCAAGCTACAACAACCGTAGCTCTTGTTGGGTGTAAGGACTGAAATACACAATCGACCGGTGATACACGACAACACAGATGGTTTGGGACTGATTGAGGGTGAGGGTGAGAAGACGACGAGGTGGAGGACAGTAATACGGAGCTTTGTAATGGTAATGAAACCGACGATAAGGAGTCAGGCGACAGGGAAATTGATGGAGCTGACGATTGTGAAGTTCGAAAGAAATCAGCTGTGTATCTGCATTTGTTATCGCGTCCTGAATAATTGAACGTTTATGTCAATTCTCATTCTCTGTACTGTGTCGTGCCTGTTACGTTCGGCAGTTGAAGGTCCTTAAAGCTGTTTGTATTTGCACTCACTAGCTACTGATATGTGTCAGCGAAAGAAACATGTCACAGCTCTTAAGTTGTTTCCTTGAGTCTACACTACCCTTGTTTATGACTTGTTTCTGCACTTCATCATGCACTGTGCAGCACATCTATCTCAATTACATTCTGTCGTTATCTTTAGCCTCCACCTCATTCTGCAGTACTTACGTTAGTCACATGTTATTGGATTTTTAACTTTCTTTATTCACCTGACCACTTTAAAGTATTAGGAATTTATTAGGAATTTAGAGGCCACATGCCTCGCACTGCTCTTTTTCTCTCCGAAACTCAACACTTGCAAGCCAGATACTAAAGAAAGAAAAAATGATCAGTCGCACCACCGGGACTCGAACCAGGGACCTTGTTGATTGCGAGCGATGCTCTAACCACCTGAGCTGCAGTATGACTCTTTTTTTTATTATCTTTATTCTCACGATGGCTGTAGCCAATAAGAGAGAGACAGTATTATGTGTTATCAATCAGAGTGGGTGCAATAAACCGGGGGAAACATTGGCTAGTGGCAGCCGTGGACTGGGTGCTTCATTTAAGTAAAGACGAGGAGGGAAGTATATCCATTGCGAGGGCAGGTAGGCGATATACCTTGATTAAAATACTATACCTAGGCTGGGCTACAGCGGGGGTTGGAGCATGTGCAAATAGATGACACTATCATTGAGGTAACTTCTCTTTTGAATGCATTTATTTCTCAGAGGGAGTAACAGTGTGGTGGCAGGTGGTTGTACTGCCGGAGTGCATGCTGAGTACAAGGGTGAACGTTGAAGGCGAGTGGAGTGGGTGGTGGGGAGGGCAAAGACTCGATGACGCCTCAATTCTCGGCTTGGTGGCTCGGTGATGTAGCCTGAGGTCGCAAGCTGGATGTGTGGCGGGGATGGTTTGACAGCGATGGTGTGTGCAAAGAGTAGCTGCTTGAGCTTCCTGCGGGATGAGAGGGTAGGCCAAGTGACGTGGTGGAGTAATGAACTGTGGTGGCAAGGACTGAAGAGGGGGAGTCGGAGGCAGAGTTTGCTGACCGCCGTTGGAGACGTTCGAAGGCAGCTTGTTGCTGAATATTCATAGCTGACATAGCCAGAGAACCATATTCGATAACGGGGCGTATATACGTGGTGTACATTGCTGACAGGGCGGTGGGTGAAAGACATCCACGAATCCGTCTCAAGAGGTGGAGAGTGCGCGCAACTTTGCTCTCGATGTGCTGGATGTGGGCATTCCACTTCAGGTCGGCCTGAACGATGATACCCAGGTGTCGCTGGCTCTAGACTCTGTTCAGTGTTTTGCCTTTCAACGTTATTGTCAGGGGGAAAGCACCGCACAGTGTCATCACGACCGTCTTCGTTTCGTTGACGGTCAGGTGCCATTTGTCGAGCCACGTAGCGGCTTTAGTCACACTGGACTGGAGTGCTCGCTTTTGCTGCCGCTGCTGAGTGGCCGCTAGCGATTTAGGCGGTGTCGTCGGCGAAGAGGCTGCTTCGTGTGGCTTGGGAGTTGCAAGCTGCTGGTAGGTCCATCGTGTATACGAGGAATAGCAGCGGGTCGAGTACCGATCCCTGAGCGACTCCTGCAGGGATGTCAAGCCAGTCGGAGGCTGTGCTTCCGATTCGGATCCGCTGCCTCCGGCCCAGGAGGTAGCTCTCAAACCAGCGGAGTGCTGCACCCCTTACGCCATGGTGTTCAAGCTTTTGCAAGAGGCCACGGTGCCAAACACGGTCGAAGGCCTTAGAGAGGTCAAAGAAGCAGACGTGGACTGACTTCTTGACCTCAAGGTCCGCAGCAAGTTCGTGCAGCAGGCGGCTTATTTGGTACTCTGTGCTGTTGTTCTTCCTGAAGCCTGACTGTTCTGGAGGGAGATGGGGTTGGATGTGCCTGTAGAGAGCTTTGTGGGCGATTCTTTCTTGCAGTTTTGATACGACGGGTAGGAGGGAGATAGGACGATAGTTTGTGGGACAGGCTCGACTGCCCTTCTTGAAGATTGGAGACACCATGGCATCTCACCAGTCTCTTGGGACTTGTCCGTTGGTGAAGGAGTGATTGAAAATTCCCGTATGTCACGTGATTGTCGCCTTGGAGTTGCCCAATGACAGATGAAACAGCGCGGGCTGGAAAGCGCGGTCCTGCCTGCTCAAAGGTGATGGAACTGAATCACTGCCCGTCGTCAAGTGACGACGGGCAGGAACGGATTCCACAGCCAATGAACGCAGTGGATTCCGTTCCTGAATCCGTTCCTGCCCGTCGTCACTTGACGACGGGCAGGAACGGATTCAGGAACGGAATCCACTGCGTTCATTGGCTCGAACTTGGCGCGTGTTTCGTACATACAAGGACAACTGAAACGAAAGTGAAAGAGCGACTTGCGCAGCAAAAGTCATGTATCTCTTTATTTGGCTTGGGTGCACACGGGAAACACGTTCCAGTCACTCATACTCGGCCAGTACCGCTGTTCATCCAGCCCTTGCCGCTATCGCGGCGCGGGCTGGATTCCGCGGTACTGCCCTCATACTCGTGCAGGAACCTGTACTTATTGTTAAGGAAGGGGCGATGCGGTCGGCAGTGAGCTTCAGAAGAATAGACGGGATTCCGTCCGGGCCGGCGCTTTTGTTGGTGTCAATGTGACGAAGGAGCTCGAGTACCTCCACTTCAGTGGCGGTGACATCCTGGAGTGTCCTGTCAGTAACCCTCGGCGTGTGGATGGGAGGAGGAGGGCCGGTGCACCCATGGAGTGACTGCCTGCTCTGCTCAACGAAGAAGTTGTTGAAGGTTGTAGCCTTGTCGAGGTCAGAGCTAATGTTGTTCCCATCACATTCCAAGTCGGGAACACCACGCTGTACTGAGGTTCTAAGGAGAGACATCACATTGTACAAGTTGCGGCGATTGAACGCCACACCGTGCTCATCCTCCGTGTCCTCTCTTACTAGGTATCCGTGCACATAGTCAGACTTCGCGGACCGCAGCTTGGCCGTGACACTGTTACGTTGCGCAATGTAGGCTCTCCATGATTCAGTAGAGCGAGTCGATAGATACGTTCTGAATAGAGAGTGCTTCTTCTTGATCTCACTCCAGAGGGTCGGCGTAATCCAAGGATTCGGTTCCCATGGTGTAATATGATCATGCAGTCGCTGGTTAGTTAGGTGGGGCTTGGTACAAAACCTCCGTGCAGTGTTTAGCAGACTCGTCCTCCAGTGCTGCCACAGGTCCTCAGTGCTCGTGGATTCGAGTGGTCCTGGAGGCAGAAGATTAGTGTCTCCAAGGGCAGAATTAAGCTCTGTGACTCTGTCAGAGTCCCAGCACCAAGACCAGCTCCTGGGCTGGACTGCAGCGACGATCGGGGTCGGTCGAGTTGGCAGTTCAAGGATGCCTAAGATGGCTAAGTGGTCGGAGTTGCACAGCGATGGGAGAGGGTGCACTGGTGTGGGATGTAGGGTATCTGACGCGGCAACAAGATCAATGCAGGAATTAAGTATTCCACCAGCAATGTGAGTTGGAAAGTTAACGTGTTGGGTTAGACCGTACGTAAGGAGTAGTGCTTGTAGTGCTCGCCCAGCGCTGTCGGTGGGGTAGGTAGAAAGCCAACTTGTGTTCTTCGCGTTGAAGTCTCCTACTAGCACCATGGGCTTGGGTGAAGCACGGCGGAGACAGGACTCAAGGCTGGCACAGTTGTGGTGTATGTCGCTACTGGGTGGGCGATAGGAGACACAGAATACGAAGGATTGGCAGTTTGGCGGAGTCAGTTAGATCCACACTGATTCGTATCCAGATACATCGTACATGCTGAGGTGCGAGTGAGTGGCGGAACTGTGAATGTAGACCAAGCAACCGCCTCCTCTGCCCTGCTGTCGATCGCAGCGATAAAGTGATTAAAAAGGCAGGTCATATGGGCTGTCGCCCTCGAGAGGAGAGCACCATGTTTCTGTAATGGCAATGACAGTGGGGAGTGGATGGCATGTTTGGATAAGGGAGGGAAGCTCATCGACTCTTATCGCCAATGGAGATAAATCTCTCCTTCTTTGATATCTGGCTTGCATCATACTAGCGACTCACACCGCTCAAGAGGGCATCCGGCCATTCGCTTGATATCACAGGGAGCGCATCAAACTTTGTCCACCGTAGGCAAACACAAATTGCAATTGGTCACTTTAGTTCAGTATTTCCACTGATGGGTGGAGACTAGAAATCGATTTTTGATGCAACACATGTAATGTTAGACCTCAGCCAAATTGTCATGTTGCGTGGTGATGTCTGCGACATTCATATTTTTCATAGCTCTCATAAAACTATTGTCTCCACATGATCCACATGATGATTCTTTTATTCTTGATAATAATTATAGCTTGGGTTTTCTCCGATCATGGCCCTTCTTTGGCTATCTATGAATGAAAACACCGCCATTGAATGGAACTGAAACCAAAGACAAAATTTACACTTACAAAGTCTTAAGATTAGTACAGTCCTGGAATACATCGGCGTTTAGTGTTGCCAAATTTGTGTTTTTTATTAAGCTGCAGTTAACGATCAACACACACAACGACCATGTTTTGTCGGCGACACAAGGGATCTTCTTCAATGTATATGTTTGTGGAGAGGAATGTAAGCTCTCGAAGTGGCAAATTCTGGGCTTGTCAGATCCCAACCCTTTACAGGTCACTAGTAGACTATACGCTGGACTGTGTGGCACGAATAGTGCCCAGCAAACATTGTTTTTCACTGTATTTTCACAACATGATCATGGACATAGCATCACTCGAGTTCTCTGTGTTCATGGCACGAACTCACCATGTTTTCCGCAGTATAAGCCGCTCACAAGCAATTCACAACAAAGGTTATGTGCTGCTTATACTGTAGCGGCGGTTTCCAATCCGGAATCAACAGTACCTAATTCTTGATAACATTGACATGAAAACACTTGAACGATACACAGTGAGCTGTGCGATCCCCTGACTGCCTGTTTCAACCCTCCTCAGCATTGGCCGTCTTTCGAGGCAGAGTTCTGGGCCAAGACAGAAAAGACAAGTGAGAGCCTGGCCGAACTTGTGTCCGAGCTACAGAAGATGGCTTCAAGGACCTACCCAGGTCAAGAAAACACGGACACTCTCGCCAGGTGCAGCACCGCCAACGCTGAAATCAGGGTGGTATTACTGCTGGACCGATATTCATGTTAGACAACATTTCGCAATGGTTTGATTCTCCGCTTAAGAATTTCAGCTCATCCTCTCTGGGTATGTCTCATAATTCATCAGCACCTGCGAACGGTGGATGGGGTGAAAGTTATCAGGGTTAGCAGCAGGTTCGCCGTTGTTTAAAAAGAAAATCAAGTGCCCAGGCACTGCCCACAAAAGTCTTTTAGCGAGTTTGGATTGCGTATCAGTCGAGCGCCATAACTCCATGATCGTTGATTGTATCTTTTCAGAAATTGTTGCAATAGAAAGCTGAGGACATTCTCTTCGATCATGCACAGTCATTGTTCCTGGCCACCTTGTAAAAAAGCACTCGGCAAGGAGTGACAAATTGTGTACCCTAGACGTCATGTACATGTATGGTGATTTGTGACTGATCATGTACTATTGTCACCAATTTGTGATTGTGTAGTATAGGCCAATGATTACTTATTATTTCTGACATTTGTATTTCGTATTTCCTGCTCCTGTCCACGTGACGTATCTCTGGCCTTGTAAGCCGCGCGCATGCTTACGTGTTTCTGGGCCTTTCTCTCTCTTCTCCGTCATGACAAGTAACATTAGTTTTACTATCGATATGAACAGTTGAGTGTCTGATGAAACCTGGAAAAAGTCTGGTATTACTATTAGGAAAGGGAATCCTACATTGGTGGCAGCGGTAAACACTCTCGATCTCGTCTCCTGAGCTGTGGATCGTGTGGATCGTCTCCGAAGAAGCCTTGAGTCGTTGACACTCTGGACCACGCAAGTTTCTACCTCCGAGATGTCGTCCATTTGCCTGTTTTCTTGATGAAACTACTAGTAATTTCAATGATGTTCCTGTCGTCTCTTGCTGCTCGCTCTTTTATGTGCATGATAATTAGAGTGCCTGCTTGTTGATTGCTTCAGTGTTTGCCTGTCTTTGCAACATCGCGGGGCGCCTGCCTGTCTACATTTTGTTTGTTTTCTGTACGTGCATGCACTACATCGATATACGTGTACGTATTACTACGTAACTAGGCGTGAACGTTTGAACAGCGTGCGTACGCCTGTCCCCGGGGAAAATTGCGGAAAAATCGCAAAAAACGCGGGGAAAAACGCGGCATAATATGGCATAATTTGCGGTGAATTTGCGGTAAATATGCGGTAAATATGCGGTGAATGCGGCAATTTTCAGTGAGTGTGTAGTGAAACCAATCAGTTACAAGTCTCTGGTGTAATCACTCGTCATATTTCAGTAAAAAGCCGCCACGATGGGACGTTGCTGACCGAACAGTGCACTGTGTGTACGTGTAGTGCAACAAAAAAGTTCAAAAAACGCGGGAAAATTGCGGAAAACGCGGTCTTTTAAAAAATCGCAAAAAAACGCGGAAAAAAAAGCGGCCGCGGAATCGCAATTTTCCCCGGGGACAGGTATGCAGCGTTCCGTTTTTGCTGTTGAACAAAAGCGTACACTGTTTTTGCCGCCTTCGGTTTCGTATCCGTGCGGCGCGGCCGTGCGGCTCAGCTAGCTAGCTCCACATTTTTTGTGCTTTGGAAATTTTGTTGGTGGATTCAAATTTTTGAATTTTTTTCAACGATGAAAAAGGCTCGGAAGGCACGAAAGAGAGAAGAGATGAGTTTTCATGATATCAACAGATATGCAGCAGCAAGCAGCACACCACGCGACGAACAACTACCCTCACCACCACAGTCGCCAGTCTCCGCAGGACGAGCAAGTTCAAGTAAGTTCTCACATGCTCAAGCCGCCACCACATCCTTGCCCAAACCGATCTTGCTCCCAGACACGTTTAGCAGTCAACCTGGACAAGATTTTGTAAATTATATGAGCCACTTTGATAACGCATGTGCCCTGTCAGGCTACACCCATGAACAATGTTTGCGCCTGTTGCCGGCGCGTCTGGTTGGCGTACCACACGAGATGTTGATAGACATCGTCACCAACTCGCCCAGCATCACATATCACGAGGCAGTCGAAGCGCTGCGCGCGAGACTGGAACCTCCGCAACTGGCCCTTATGCACGAGACGACGCTCCGACAGAGAGTGAAGTTGGCCACTGAAACCCAGTATGCGTCACGCAGGCGCTGCGACATCTGGCACGCAAGGCTTATCCCGGGCAGAGTGGGCCGCTCCTGGACTCAATGCTGCTCCAGTTGTTCATCGACGGCCAGGCAACGAAAGACCTGCGTCTTGCACTTGCATCTCCACGACCTGCGTCTTTGGATGCAGCCATCCAAAAGGCAATTGAGGTGGGTGCCATCCACGCCCGCGAACAATCCCGATCGGGATACGCTCAGCCGGTGTTTGCAACAGCTCCGCAACACCAACAACAGTCGACTCCCGCGCCCAGTCAACCCAGGCACTCGGAGTACAGCCCCATCCGGCCGAGCGTTGCCACGGAGAACCAAAATGGTGACCAGGAACGCACAGAACGTGATCGCCTGGCCGGCATCCTGGAAAATTTTGATTCTCGTCTCTCCGCACTGGAAAGAGCTGTCGGTGTCACGAACGGTTGTGTCAGCCAACAGCAAGGACAGCTGCGGGGTGGCCGTGGTTGTGGCCGTTTCGGACGTGAAGGTTTGCGAGGAGCCATGCAGCCCGACCGCGCGTGCTATGGCTGCGGAGAAGTTGGCCACTTCCTCGCTTATTGTCCTCATATGAACCGAAAAAACGACAATTGACTGGTGCCGCAGGGCAGCAGCCGGTCGAGGAGAACGAGCCCCTCCATTTGCATGATGTATGCGTGCATGCTATTTCGCTAATTGTCTTGCATGTAGATGTATGTTTCCGGACTGCAACGGTGTCTGGATTAATTGACTCGGGCTCAAGTGTATCGTTGTTGCACGCAAATTTGTTCACTTCGTTGTTTGACTCTGAGCAAACACTCGAGTCTCCTCCGCGTTTATGTGCGGTGAACGGAGAACAGTTGCCTGTGTTGGGGTCTGTAGAGCTAGCATTCTGCCTGGGCAACTGCTCATTTGTGCACTCCTTTGTGTTGTCTGATGCCATCCACAAAGATGTCATTCTTGGATCAGATTTCCTCTTTGAGCATGGTGGCGTGCTGGATGTTGCCCAAGGAATGTTGACGTTTGGCGAGGAGTCTGTGTCTGTGTGCGTTAGTGGCCCACGACATGTTCCCTCACAGACACTGTGTGCTACGAAGCCATTGTCTGACACCAGCGACACTGGGCCGGAACATAAAAATCATGAAAACAATCATACAAAATCCAATCATCCTCAAAGTATTCATCATATAAATCTACATACACCATCCTCATCTGATCTGCCTGACGATTCATTGTCTGCACGGGTTGTTGAACACATGGCTCAACCTGGCGTTGTCCCGGCGTGTGCGCCCGAAAGTGTGGCCGACCCTGTGGTATACTCATCTCGTGTGGTGTTTGAGATGGAGTTGTCGGTACCTGCAGGACATGTTGTCTTGGTGCCTTGTGCAGCTGTTGATGTGTGCACGGTTGCGATGGATTGCGTGGCAGATCCATTGGAGTCCTTTATGGCGAAGCATCCAGATGTGGCAGTGACTCCTAGTCTTGTGACTGTTGGCCCTAACCAAACACGTGTGGTTGTGGCTGTTGAAAATCATGCAAATCATCCTACAGGTAGACTCCCTTTAATTCGAACCTCAAATTGCCAGGCCCTAACTTCTAATTATCCGGAACTTCTAATTATCCAAATGCAGCCCCATGCACTGATATGTATGTCAAAATGCTTGAAATCGCATGCTGAATATTTTTTGCACATTTTTATTTGCATCAACGAAACATAGGTGGTCGTACCGGTTATATACAACGCGTTAACGGATCATCAAAACACTGGATCGACAAAAAAATCATTTGACATTAAATATCTTCATCTTCTAGTGAAGAAGTTGTCAGTCACTGCAGCTTTCCTGAAACATATTTCAACGGAAAAGAACTGCTCTGCCTAATCCGCGTCATGAGAGGCCGTCGGACACCAGCACGTCGTTCTGAAGAACCGAAGTGGAGCATAGGCATAGACAATATTTTACAACAATAGTGTTGTTGTGCGCCAACATCTCCGCGCACGAGCTGGCGCGGCAAGCAAGGCCATCGAGATCCGCGAAGAGAAATCAGCCACCAGGAAGAAGTCGTCTTCAATCAAACCTTTGCAATTTGCCTCCCACGGGCTTGAATCAAATTTCGAGAGAAGGTGGGTTTCTTGAACGCTATAGTCGATCCTGCAGCGGACCATCGATCGATTTTTGAGCTACTCTTGGCTAGAGAAGGAGAAAAGAAGGAACTTCGAATTACAAGGATAGCAACTCAATCTCACTTCGAAATAAGCGTTCAAAAGACATAGCTAATGTACTGCAAACAGCTCTTCTGTACGAAGACTGGGTTCGAATTATCCAACCGGCGCACTTTTCGTACTTCGAATTATGCATTCGATTTTGACACGAAGTGACTTGCAGAAGATCGGTACAACGAAAAAGTTCGAATTACGCGGAATGTTCGAATTATACCGTATTCGAATTAGAGGGAGTCTACCTGTATACTCATTCATAAAAATACCAATGTTGCCGAACTTCATCAAATTCCTACAGACTGTGAACATATTGACGACACTGAGGCTATGGTTTCCTCAGTTTCACCCAGCACGATTCCGCTAACTGAGCAACGCAAGAAAGTCATCGATGAATATATCAACGCACAAAATCATCTCTCCACAGAACAGTCTCGCATGCTCACTGAACTACTTCATGATAACCACGATTTATATATCTTGCATGATGATGACTATGGCTACTGTGACATATTCCCTCATAAAATTTACACTGGACAAAATAACCCTATAAAACAACCTACCAGGCGGATTCCATATCACCGCCGGAAGGCTCTGCAAGATCTACTGAATACGTTGTTGAAGCAAGGCATAATACAAGAATCGATTAGTCCGTGGGCATCACCCATAGTATTGGTGCCAAAGAAGGATGGCTCTCTTCGACTCTGTATCGACTACAGGAAGTTGAACTCTGTCACCGAACCTGACGCCTACCCGATTCCCCGGGCGGATGACATGCTTGATTCGCTGTCTGGCTGTCGGTATTTCACGTCCCTTGACTTAGCGTCAGGGTACTGGCAAATAGCAATGGAAGGAAGCGACAAGGCTAAGGCGGCATTTACCACGCCACTGGGCTTGTTTGAGTTTAATGTTCTGCCGATGGGCTGCAGGAATGGCCCAGCGACATTTCAGCGCGTAATGGAAGCAGTCCTGAGTGGCTTATGTAGCACACCAGCTCAGCCATTCTGCCGTGTGTTCTTTGATGATGTCCTGAATGCCAGCGAAACGCTGTCTGGCCAACTCCAGATTCTGCTGCCCGTGTTCGCGCGATTTAGGTCCGCTGGACTGCGGTTCAATCTGAAGAAATGCTCCTTCTTCCAGGAGGAGGTCACTTTCTTAGGACACAGCGTGTCAGCGGAGGGCATCTCCCCGGATGAGGCCAAACTCATTGCGGTCAGGAACTGGAAGACTCCGAAATTTGTCACAGCTGTCCGCGAGTTGCTTGGCTTCGCTGGATATTATCGCCGCTTCATCCGTGGGTTCGCCCAGCATGCTGCTCCGCTGACTGCTCTGACAGGCAAGAATGCTCGCTTTGCGTGGTCGAAAGCTTGCGAAGCGGCGTTCCAGGCTCTGAAGCGTTCGCTTGCCAGTGCGCCGGTGATGGCGTACCCCCAGTTTGAAGATTCAGCAGGTGCATTCATTCTGGACACCGATGCGAGCAATGTGTCGATTGGTGCGGTCCTCAGCCAGATCCAGGATAGAACTGAGCGACCAATTGGGTACAGCAGTCGTGTACTGACGAAAGCTGAGCGCAACTACGATGCTAGCGATCGCGAGGCCCTTGCGTTGGTCTATTTTGCGGAGTATTTCAGGCACTACTTGTTGGCACGACCATTTGTTGCCAGGACGGACAATACTGCGTTGACTGCACTCCGAAACCTGAAGGAACCCCGCGGACGGAAAGCACGATGGCTTGACTGTTTATCCGAATATGAATTCCGAGTCGTCCACCGCCCAGGTCGCCAACATCTGAATGCTGATGGTCTGTCGCGCTTGCTAGCCGAACCTGAAGCACATGTGCACAGTGAGTCTCCGCCACTGGCACCAACACCCCCGCAAGATGCTGCCCCGGCTCCGCCGCCGCGAGATGCTGCGCCAGCTACATCCAGTGCTGTCACTGTTGAGCTGGATGATCTATCATCTGCTGCTATAGCTGATGCTCAACGTTCTGATCCGGAGCTATCCACAGTCTGGTCATGGTATGATGCGGCTAGTGGCAAGTTCGTTCGCCCTCCGGAAGATGACATTTCTGGTGTTAGTCGAACTATCCAGATTATCTGGTCACAGATTGATCAGTTGTCTTTGCGTGATTCCGTCTTGTATGTACGGCGTCCTTTTGCTGATCATGACCACGTTGGTGAGTCAGCCCGTCTGGTCGTACCATGCTCACTTCAGGAGCGAGCCATGGTCGCTGTACATTCTCTTCCTACTGCTAACCATCCTGGTGTGGAGAAAACCCTGTCTCAAGCTCGTCTGCGTTTCTACTGGGTTGGAATGACTTCTGACATCACCGAATTTGTTCGATGCTGTCACACCTGTGCACAGATTCGAGCGAAGAATCCAACAAACCCTGCACCACTTCAACCAATGATTGCCGGCTATCCGTTCGAAATTGTTGCCTTAGACATTGTCGGTCCTCTGCCTGAAACGTCCCAGGGCCATAAGTATTTCCTGGTCATGGCGGATTACTTTACGCGATGGGTCGAGGCATTTCCTTTGCACCATATCACTGCTGTTTCGGTCGCTGCAGCTGTCGTTAATGGTTGGATCAGTCGGTTCGGTGCACCTGAACAGCTTCATTCAGATCAAGGGGCTCAATTCCAATCTCGGCTATTTGCGGATAGCTGCCGTCTCCTTGGTATCCGGAAGACGCGAACTATGCCGTATCATCCTTCTGGCGATGGTCTGGTGGAGCGCGTCAACCGCACTCTTCTAGGTCTGCTGCGTGCCCACATTACTCCAACCAGTACGGAGTGGGATGCAACGTTCTCTCTCGTCTTGCTGTCATATCGTGCTGCAGTGCACAAGTCCACTGGATTCAGTCCAGCGTGCCTTCTGTATGGTGCGGATGTCCGGTCACCAGCTGATATTGTGTTCAATTTACCTTCACCACCTTCCACTGATATGCATACCTATGTCCGTAGTCTCGACACTTCTCTGCGGAATATTCACGTCGAAGCCCGTCATAATGCTGATCTTGCTCATGCGTGTCAGGAACAGTTCTATAACCGTCGCGTTCATGGTGAGCCTTATGTTGTCGGTCAGCAAGTATATCTTCATGATCCAGTTATCCGTGCTGGCGAGCACCGTAAATTTCATCGTTTCTGGTCTGGCCCCCATACTATTGTGCGTGTTAATGGTCCGACGTCATACACGTTACTGCTGAAGGGAGTTGAACGTACTGTCCACTTCAATCGTTTGAAGCCAGTTACTTCCTCGTGCCCAGTTTCCTTACCGTTTTCTGTCCATGATCTCCCGAACCCAGTGAGTTTGTCAGCTAATAACTTTGTTCCTGTTGTGCCACATGATGCCGATGACTCTGTTCCCAGTACGCCTCCGTTGCCGCTGCCTGTTGCCCTATCACCTCTACCTCCTCCTCCAGTTTTAGTGCGTCGATCAGGCCGGATCCGCACTGCTCCTGCGAGACTTGATGACTATGTTTTGTAGTTAGGTCATTGTATATCCGTGATTATTATAAATTTAATTGTTTTTGCCCTGCTTGCCTATTATTCACGAGGTCGTGAATGGTGAGAGGAGGGGAATTGTGTAGTATAGGCCAATGATTACTTATTATTTCTGACATTTGTATTTCGTATTTCCTGCTCCTGTCCACGTGACGTATCTCTGGCCTTGTAAGCCGCGCGCATGCTTACGTGTTTCTGGGCCTTTCTCTCTCTTCTCCGTCATGACAAGTAACATTAGTTTTACTATCGATATGAACAGTTGAGTGTCTGATGAAACCTGGAAAGAGTCTGGTATTACTATTAGGAAAGGGAATCCTACAATTGGTCGAGGGAGGTTTGTGACTGTTTAACCGATCACGGGGACTGTGATTGGTCATGGTGCCATGTTGTTGTTGTTGTTGATTTCATTTTAATTCGCAGTGACCAAACGAGCAGAGGCGCTCAATAACAAGGAAGCGAATGAAGGTGACTAGAATCATTAAAAACAGAAAATATTAGATATGGGGAAGGGGTAGGTGGAATCTGGTCCGAGATGGACAATCAGAGCTCTGATACACAGGTGTCGTCGGGGGGTTGCATGCGCACAACAACAAGAACATGTACGATAATCTCCAGCCGGCGCAGTCCGCGCGCGGTCCGCACCAACGTACCAAAAGGGGCACACACGTGCCAAAAGGGCAGGGACAACACAGGGGTAAACATTTAGGAGCCCATGACTGGTCACCGGGTCCTACACGTAATTTGGTGCTTGCCTGTCTATTTTTGTGGTTGGAAATGTGTTTAATTTATACTCACAGTACAGACAATTGGAATGACCAAGTACTGAAAAAACCCATTGGCAGTGTTTTCATGATATTGTTGGACCAATCCCTGTTATAATCACAGAACCACAATTCTACTTTTCAAAAATCATTGCACGTTGCACGTCACAAATCAACCGTTATCTAAAAAGATCACAAAGCCTCTAAGAATGGACTCGGATGGAGTCGGGCAATGTTATCGCCTGAGCTGATTGTTTAATAACTAAAAAGGCGACGTGGAGAAAATGATCTTTTAAAATAATGCAATGAATAAAACAATTTCCATGTGACAAACCTTTTTCCTTGGCTCACCATCTGAGTTCTGAATGAAACAATAATATTTGAATTATATTTTATTCATTGCATTGTTTAGTAACTGGTGGTGTTAATGGACATTATAGTGTAACTTGTAGTTCCTTGGTCCTTTTTACTTTTTATAAATGAACACTCTGAGAGTGTTTTTATGCTGATAGCAGAACAATGATCATCGCCAGGTACCTGAAGGCATTTATGGAGCGGTGGTACGATGAACTGGCATGGTGACTGCGGTACACGTTGTTTAACATGCTGACAAAGCTGACAGTCTCCAAGCTTCCGTCAATGCGTTACATGCATGGGAACAAATTTGCATGTTTTAAAGTTTGAACCATCCAAGTCACAGCTCCTGAGAATCTCCTGCCATCGACAGCAGCCTTGGCCTATCCCCGCAATAAACCTTTGGAGGAGAGGTCATCCCACAGCAGCCACACCCAAAGCTCATCGGAGTTATGGATGACTCCAAGCTATCTTTTTCCACGCATCTCCAGTCAGTTGCTGCCGGGGCAAACTCACGTTTTGGCCTCCTACGTAGAGCTGCTTGGGTTCTGGACCGCCGTGGCATGCTGGTCGTGTATCACGGCTTTGTTCGGCCCCTGCTCGAGTACGCTCCCCTTGTCTGCTGAGTGCAGAGGCGGGCCCTCCACATCCTGGGACCCAAAATCTTGCTACAGAGCCTCAAGGCTCGACGGACAATGTTGCCGCTGACTTTCGTTTACAAGCTACTGAGCCAACCAGGTCCTCCTCTGCTGGGATCCATCCCCCCCCCTCTCCTTGTCCACTATGTCGCACCTATAACCCGGAGACAATGCCGGCAGTCTGCTTCACACCCCTGCCAATTGGAAAATGTTCTCCCTCCAGGCGCTCATAACTACCTTAGTCGCCCACTTTCATACAACATCATCAACACCAGGAACGCGCTGCCATCCTCCCTTTTCACCAAACCACCATCTCCTAAGGGCCTACAAACCCTCAAAGCAAACGTCCACTACCATCTGCGCCGAAGCCAGTGGCTTTGGGCCACAGCCTCCCTCCACCAGTTCTGAACTAGTTCCACTTTGAAGCTCACCCCCAAGCATTGCATCATGTTCACAGTCATCTGACCCTGCCGTTGAATCTATTGTTCTCTCTTCTTGTTCTCTCTCCACCCCACCCCCCTCTCTCTCACTCTCTCTCTCTCTCTCACTGTCTCTCTCTCTCTCTCT